TCCGGGCCTCCCAGTGGGCAGCAGTGGCAATGGGGAGGAAAAGCAGGGCAGCCCAGGCATAGGCTCTGGGTGGCTGTAGCAAAAAGGGCCCAGCAGCAGTGAGGGAGAGGTGGCCACTCTTCCCCCATGCCCAGCAGCAGCTTCTGCCCAGCTGCCACTTCTCAGTGTGGGTGGGCAGTCTGGAGTGAGTTGGGTTGGGGTTGGCTGGGGTTGGGGCTGTGCGCACAGGTCCCAGCTGGTGCAGAGCTGATCTGTTTTGGCCAGGGCAAGTCTGGAGTGGGTGCAGTGTGGGCCAAGGCTGGGGCCAGGACTATGTGCTTAGCTGCTGCTGGGCTCTGGTGGTGTGGAGGAGCAATAGGGTGCACGGTCTCTGGGCTGTTGTGGGGGTGGGGGGAGGGAGTGCTGATCAGCCCATGACACTTCCTCAGAACTGACTATGTGGCCTGCAGGCCCAAGTACTTGCTCGGCCGTGGTCTTTAGTATCAGTACCATTAGGTAAATGTAGGTACTGCTATTCCTTGTAACTTCATCCAAAATAAGTGAAGATTTTAGTTTTAGGTAGTATTTTAGACCAGTGTGTTCTTAAAAGTCATTTTTAAAGATTGATAGAGGAAAATATCCTTGATTTTTATATTATAATAAACCATTACTTTGTATATGTGCAGAAGAAGTTTTGGGTACATGTGTTGGAGAAAAGTTGCATCTGGAACACCAGAGATAATTGTATGTAATATGCTTTTCTCCAATAGACTGAACCTGAAATTATAGAAGAAACAAATGTTGACCGAGTCAATGAGCCTCGAAATTATACTAGATCTCGCCAGGCTAAAGGCCATTCAGAGACATCAACTTTAAGTTCTCAGCCATCTATTGATGAAGTTAGACAGCAGATGCATATGCTATTGGAAGAGGCATTCAGTCTAGCCTCTGCAGGCCATGGAGGACAGAACAGACAACAAGATGCATACAGCTCAACACAACACTTACCATACTCTGAGGTTGTGACTAGTGCTCCTGGTACCATGAGCCGACCTAGAGGAGGAGTTCAGTGGGTACCAACGTATAGACCTGAAATGTATCAATACAGCTTACCAAGACCAGTAAGTGAAACTTCTACTTAATATGCTGTTCTATCATAAAGTTATTTGTATTTTGGTCATTGTTTTACAAGATAAAGCTCCATTTTTATGCGCAGAGAACATATATGTGCCTGTACCTATAGTAAATATGGCTGCTTGCAGACCTTAAAAAAACTAAACTGTGCTTTACTGGAAGAAGCAGCATGTTACTTCTACCTGGCTCTGCAGCATCTGTATAGATCAGGTTCTTCAACAGGGCTTTTTGGCACTTTTAGCTAAAGCTGATTTAATCAGCTTTTAGATAAAAGTGCCAAAAAAGCCCCACTAAAGCACCAATCTATATAGACATTGGGTGAGCCAGATCCAACTAAGGCACTGCCTCTTCTGGGCAGGCACTGGGTTTGGTGCAGGAAAGCGCTGAGTTTAAAGTGCTGCTTTTTTTTTTTTTTTTTTTTTTT